CACACACACACACACACACATACACACATACATCAAACCACTCTACACAAAACTCTATTTAAAAAATTTCAAATGAACTCAACCCTAGTCCCCTTCATATCATCATGGAGACAGTGGGTGATGGTAAGGCAGCTATATGTACAACTCACCAACACCCCCCAACCACAAGTTTCCTGTCTGAGAAGGCGTCAGAAACTATGAGTCAAATCTACTGTGTCTCTCTGAACGACTGCTGTTTCAGGACAGAGTGATATAGCACTTTATTTACATGATGTACATTTGCACCTTAGGAGGGTTAGCTGCCTATGTATGTTTGGAACATAACCTTAGAAGAGATAGGTTTTTAATACTACTCACATATTAAATGTTGATTATTTCCAACAGAGGCTTCCTTCCTAATTAGAACAAGCAAACTGAATTTAATCTGTAGGCAACATGCATTGATGTAAGTGCCCCTTAGGGAGTTTTACTGAAAATGTTTCAGAAGCTCTTTTTCTTTACGTGTGAAAAAGGAGTTTTTTTTTCTAACACTGTGAAAATTAACCACAGGTGATTTGTCGAAATCCTCCTTTTTCATTGTTCCTTCTAGGCAACAGGGACGTTTAGAAGATGACGAGGTGAGTGGGGAGGGATGAGAATGTGAAGGTGAAATATTGTAAATCACTGAACGTAAATAAACGGTGATGGCGACGGTTTGACTCGACAGACGAAGTAAAGACGAGATATGAATGTGTTGGAATCTGTTTGTAACATTTCTTGAATTAACATGGAGCTGTGGAGTGTTATTAGTGTTTAAAGTGCAGCTGGAGAGTTCCAGTGACACAGTTCTCTCTTTAAAACAAGTGATGAAATAAAGCTGATGATGAGAAAATTCCTGTTTTACATCTTTCAGTCCCCACATGAAACCACATTTAAATTCACCAGAGCCAGATCAATATGTCAATCCACAGCAAATTGGAAACACTCATAGATTACAGTCCCCTAAACATGCCCGGATTATTTAATTAGATCCACGATTACTGGTGCACTAAAATGCACTGGGGTTTCCAAAACCATCATTAAAATCTCCTGACTGGAACCACAGACATCCGTCTAACCAGTGGCTCTTATCACTGCTGACCAGGAGCAGCTGACCGACTCCCCCCCGTCGACAAAGTTCCACACATTCAATGTTGTAGTTTCCAGACAATCATTGTTATTCATCTGTGAACTGTTCTAAAGTTTAGGTTCATATAAATAGACAACCAGAGGGTAAGCCACGCCCACACCCTCACACTTTACTTCCACTTCCCTAAAACACAAGAAGTCAAAGACCGTTGCCATAAAGAAGAAGCTTGTTCTCAGTTTAACTTTAACTACACTGAAACATGTGGGTTACCCAGAGACGACCTGCTGCTGAGCTGAGCTGAGTGAGGTCTACAAAACTTCTTCCACTTCCTCAAACGACACATTTGACAGGATGTGTGCCATCGTTCTTCTCTTTGCTTTTTCTCTGCTGAGCTCATATGATGCTGAAGGTACACACTCAATTCTATCACCTTCATTCCTCTAATATTGTTTTATGTGACTGTCTCAGCAAAGTACGTTGTGTTGAGTTTTGTCATTATTCTAAAAAAATATTTAAAGGAAGAACAGTTCTATGCTTGAATTCAATTTAAAAAATATATTGAGTGATAACAGACCTGGAGAAACTTTTTAAAAGCTTTTAAATCCAACAGAATCATTATTAATGTGATGACCTGTGGCAGTGACTCAGAGAACAGAGAACAACAGAGAACAAATTAATTAAAGACAAATCTCTATATTACAACAGGCTCAGTGACAGAAGGTTTCTTGTATCATGTCAGTGTCTCTCTGTCTATTTATGACAGAACTACATTGCACGTCCACTTTAAATGTTCAGTTTAAGAAATGAGCTGCTGCAATGAACAAGTTTGAGTTTTTCTTCCTACTACAAACAAACATTGACACCAGTCGAGATAATTTGACTGTTGTAGTCACTTCCTCTTCCTCTTCCTCACTCGCCCTCTTCATGTGAGCTCCAGAATCTGTCGTGAGATCGACTCGTTATTCCCCTTTTCACCGAGGCTTGATTATGAATTCAAAGTTCTAACTATGGTGAAGTGTAATGTTCACATCACTACCCACATTCATCAGGTTGACAGGTTCTATTGAAGGCAAGTGGTCAACAACTACCTAAAAAAAAGAACTGAAGCTCTTTTCTCCCTGAATCACATTTTAATTGTTCAGACAAAACTAGAAGTGATATGTTMCAACACATCAGGAACAATATTTATTAACCGTCAATAGTTTTGTTCACTGTGTGCAATGAGGTCTGAGAAACAAAAGCAAGGATCTCAAGCTACTGTACATGARAGAGRAAGAAAGAGGAAAGTGTGGTTTTTATTTAGCTCATCAAAATAATTCTGCCCCTACATGAGGATGAATAWGTTTCAGAAGACACAGGYAGTGGCTTGAATATCCACGTTTAAGATCTTATCACATCCACCTGTTCCTTTAAAACACACGGGAGAAGAAAAGTGGAATCATGATTTGATCATTTGATTTCCGTACTCAAAAATATCCGTCCCCTAAATATGCCTGATTTCATTCCCTGGGAAATCATGGAGAATATTAAAAACTGCTCGTCTCACAATGTTAAAGAAAGTAAAAAATAAATCCTGACTCCATGTCCCATCTTTCCACCAAGCTTTGTTGGTGTCCAGTTTTKAAGTRATCCTGCCGATCATTGAACMAACGATGAGCAGAAACAAGACGGAGTAACAATGGACAGAAACTACAGTGTCTTTACTTCCTAATAAAATGATGCTGTGTTGTTTCTACAGACTCCGACATCRTGACTCCTGTATTTGTGCAGACGGGGAAGGATCTGCTTCTAGACGTCATGGCTCCTGTTTACATAACTGATGGGAGTGAATTAAAATGGAAATATAATCATACAGAAAACATAATTAGATTGTTTTCTGATAACAAAACAATTATACCTGACTCCTATCAGGGAAGGGTCGAGATTGTTCGCCAAAATTACTCTTTGCTCTTGAAGAACTTAACACAAGCCGACAGTGGACATTACAGGGCAGTTGTTCAAGGGAATAATGACGTATCTGTGGGTAAATACAACGTCACAGTTCAAGGTGGGTTTCTTCAGATTTCAAATATCGACACAGTAGTCGCCCAACTTCTAAACCCCTTGATGCCCGTGTCCCTGCCCCTCAGATCCAGTGTCTCCGGTTCATGGGAACGTGGACTCTGTGTCCCGGAGCTCCGACTCCTGTAACCTCACAGTGACCTGCAGCACACAGGACTCCCATCACATCAACAGCACTTTTAGATGTGACAACAAAACCTGCAGCCAGGACGAGGGAGGAGACAGGTCCAAGGTCACGACCTCGGGCGCCTCCCTCCGTGTCTACCTGTCCAATGGCTCCTCAGTTATCTGTAACCATAGTAACCAGGTCARCTCGRCCRAGGACRTAATAAAGATTGAGAGCTATTGTTTCTCAGWTYSTGGTAAGTGACCGACAACACAAGCGGCTGATAACTTTGTTTTYYRGACGGTTGTCCTGTTTCTTCCAACTTAAGTTAATTTTGAAATATTGAATCTGTCCCAACATTTGAARACGTTCCCTGAATATTTGACTGCATTGCCTCTAGACACAGACTTTCTGACATCACCTTCAATGGGTTCAAATAGCTGCTGCTTGGATTCTAACTGGTTCAAGACAACACATGACTCAGATTCTGGCCTTGCTGCATTTGACTGCATTGAATTTAGAGCATGTCABTTTTTAAATATATTTATTTTTTGTGTTGAAGTGAATAAGTTGAGAAAATAACTGAAGCTTGTTTGCATTTGGCTGTGGGGGGGATGTCTAATCTGTTTTTCTGTGTTCTCATTACAGACATTATACCACCAGGACCTGTTGTTATTGATGACACCATCACTGTTGCTCTCACTGTCACTGTCACTGTTGTTGTCAGTGTTGTTGTGGTGATAGTTGCCATAGCAGCAGCTGTACAACATCGAAAAAAAAGAAAAAGTACGTCAGAATAAAAATTCAATTCTTCAAATCCATGTAAATAAGAATTCAGCATTTTCACTGTGCTTCACTCTATTCACTAATCAACTACCATTATGTAATGAACAATATCTGAGATCCTCTCCCAGTTTACAGTACGGATGTGAATCCACTGTTTGTTATTTATCATATAATGAATGAATGTGTTAGTCACTTATATCTTTCTATCAACAGCAATGAAAAGCAATGCTGTGTTAATATAGAACCTCTAGGGGTCACCAACATCACAAAAATGACTAAATGAATTTGTGATTTAAAGCTAATGAACATTACTTGTGACTCAGKTGCAGAGCAAAGCATGGACATGAAAAACACAGTGTACGAAAGTGTTCAGGTAAAGTTACGTCATCTTTTCTAACATCTGTCTTCCGAGACGAAATGTTTCATGGTTTTGAGCAAAAGAAATGGGCAAAAATAAATCAATAGATAATTAAATAAAATAAAAGCCAGTTGTATTTCCTCTGCTGGATAAACACAGCGATCACTCTGCATTTTCCTGACAGGTGGTCTGGTTCAGTGTTTTTCAAAGTGGGGCCGCCAGGGGGCGCTAGGGGGGCCTCAGAAAATTGGAGGAAAGATACAAAGAAAATGTATATATATATAATCTAATTATTGTTGTTTAATCATTATTATCAAACATCATTTATAATAATATATCATATCGAAATGATATTTGCCATGCTCATCTTTCTGATTGGCTGCCAGTCAAAACATCATTCATGACATAAGAAAAAACTTTCTAAAAGTTGATGTTTCTTTACATATTTTGTAGCCTTGTCTGTGGGTTTGCAAAGGGGGTCCCCGGCCAGAAGCTAATGCTGTTTGGGGGGCTATGGCGTGGGAAAGTTTGGGAGCCCCTGGTCTAGTTACTGTACATGACCTCTGACCCCTCGCTGATCGTGGTCCTGCTGCTTGCTGCCTCACCTGCCACGTGAGCCTCACTGCTCCTGCTGCTTGCTTGTGCTCAAACAAAAGTCTTTGGCTCGAATATCCACGTTTAAGATCTTATCACATCCACCTGTTCCTTTAAAACACACGGGGAAAAGAAAAGTGGAATCGTGATTTGATCATTTGATTTCCTCAGAAAGAAATATGTGTAATTAGAGGGACCCTTGGAGAAATCCCACTGGAAATACTGATATAAAATCTGTGATGTAAAAAAAAAGGAAACTTTGGAGCACCACCAAAAAACTTTTCTGTGACTTTTTCTTTCCAGGTTAATACCGTGAGCCAACATCTGGATCAGACTCCACCTGATGAAGCTTCAGCTCCTTCTCAACCCTCCATCTACAGCTTGGTAGAGTCTGGAAACTCGACTCTGCCTGAGAGCCAGCGTGCACAGGTGGATAAGTCTGACAGGTCCTGAAGAAAATCACAAATTGTCTTCCACATTTGGACAATTTCCAGGACTATTGTTGCCTGAGACGTTTTTTTACATCCAGAACCAGATCCAGGAGCATCTGGAACAGCTCCGCCCACGTTACAACTGTGAATACATTTCATATCTAATTGTCAAAGACACCTGATGAATGTTTGACATTGTGGATGAATGTTATGGTAAATATAGTATTTCTCTTACAGATGTGTTCTAATTCTTTCTGGTTCATTTATATGTTGCAGCTTTTCAATATGGGAAATGACTGAATACATTTTTTTCCTAATTTGCAGGTACAGTGAACAGAATTCTGTGATATCTAGTGTTGAAGTTTCATGTTGCAGCTGAACAAATTTCAAATTGGTTTTTTTAAACATTTTGGATTCAAACTTTTGTTCCTTTTAGATGAAAATGAGAAAAATTTGTAGCAGTTCTTTTAATTGCTCCTTTCAATTAATCTCATTATGTCTTGTGTAATTAGATTTTTTATTTTTATACAGAGAGATTTTTAAATTATTTGATAACGTATTGTGTGTTAGTTTGATCAAATTTCACTGTAAAATAAACAATAAAAACCTAAAGTGATTTTGGCTGTGACAGTTTTAATTCACAAAATTACAAAAAAGGGAAGGTTCTATAGTTTTGATCAGTGTCCAGTATTGGTGCTCGTACAATAAAGTTCTTACTTCACCCAAATATTGGGAATTATACATGTTTTATATGAATATGAAGACAAATAATGTTCAAAAGCCAAAAAATACATTTCAACACATCATCTCCATCCGTCCATATCATATCCCCTGCACTTTTGCATCGGACAGTGGGACACGTCTCCCTTTAACGATCCCACCATGAATCATTTCACAGTGAGAAGTGAGCCAGAAGAATCTAATCCAGTATTTGCTTTGATGCATCATCTGCATTTTCTCATTATCTTTCCCAACCCGCAAGACTCGAACCCACGGAGCCGCAGAACAAATCTTCCTCTGCTTCACCGCAGGTAGAAATGCACCATGCAGACGCTGTGGTCACTCCACCCTGTTGACAAACCAACAAGTTCCACACACTCAACCAGGAAGTCTGTCCTGGGACTTAAACCCCCCCCCCCCCCCCAACCAGAAGTCAGTTCCTCACATTATCAAAACTTGTACAAGATCAATGTGTTTACTTACCGACCTCGAGATGATGTTATTACCAGACAATCATTGTTATTCATCTGTGAACTGTCCTAAAGTTGAAGTTCATATAAATAGACACCCAGAGTATAAGACATGCCCACACACTTTACTTCCACTTCCCTAAAACAAATGAAATTATAGAACATTGACATTTGACAAAACATTTGTGAAAACTAGAAGTACGTTCTCGCGGCAGTTTAAATACACTGAGACGTGTGGATTACCCAGATGTGGCGAGGAGTGGAGTTTTTTTTTTATTAAATAAGGGGAGAGATAGAGATAACTAAGGAGGTAACGATAACTTAGGGACCAACAACGCCACCTGGGGCCTCGCACCCCAGGATATAATGTAAATCAAGAAAATAGTTTAATGAAAAGAAACCTAAAGGGACACAGGTTCATGACTGAGGAGGCAGAGACAGCAAATTACATAATGCAACCATGTTTATTGATTTAAAGAACTCAAAGAAATCAGGACTGTTCCTAAAAGAGAAGAAAAGAACTGGAGCTGGTGGAGACAAAAAGAAAGTTCAGACGAATATAAACTAAGTAAACAAAAATTACTTTATTCACAGAACACAATATCAAAAATTTAAGCCGGCTATAACAATACTAAAACTCTAATGACTATAACAGAAAACTAAACTTAGTGGGCCAAGGCCTCAGTGGGAGGCAGACTACTGGAGAAGTGCCCCTTCCCTCTCGCCTGGGGTGCAACACTACAAAAAAAATCACAACACAACGTGCACTAAAAGCGCCTCAGTGCCCACTTGCATGCAACAGGAGTGAGGTCCTCACCACGGTGCCGAGCCCCCCCCCCCCACCTGATGACACCCAGTCCGCACTGAAAATCAAAGGAAGAAACTTCCTGAAACAAAGAGAACAAAAAGTGAACAAAACCAAAAACCCAACTGATAATTAAACAAGATCTTAAAACATACGGACGCACAACAAGGAGTCGAACAGAAATGTACCTAAACTAAGCAAACTTAATAAATCTGGAGCAAACGAGCAAATCGAAACTACAAGTATGACTAAAACAGACAAACAGAGACAAACCTGACACAAGGAGACGAGAAGAGCAGGTGACCACCACCAGGGACCAGGAGGAGACTGAACTGAGGCCTTCCATACTGCACCTGGGCAGGGGGAGGAGCTAAAGGAGGAGTCCTGCTGGACTACCTGGGCTGCGTTCACGTCGCTTCACTACCCAGAGACGACCTGCTGCTGCTGCTGAGTGAGGTCTACAAAACTTCTTACCACCTCTCACACGACACATTTGACAGGATGCGTCCCATCGTTCTTCTCTTTGCTTTTTCTCTGCTGAGCTCATATGATGCTGAAGGTACACACTCAATTCNNTCACCGAGGCTTGATTATGAATTCAAAGTTCTAACTATGGTGAAGTGTAATGTTCACATCACTACCCACATTCATCAGGTTGACAGGTTCTATTGAAGGCAAGTGGTCAACAACTACCTAAAAAAAAGAACTGAAGCTCTTTTCTCCCTGAATCACAAAAGTGATATGTTCCAACACATCAGGAACAATATATAAAATTATTAATCTGCATGAACATGTAGAAATAAGATAAAAGAGAAAACATATACAAATCAAATAGATTTGTAGACAACCAGGAAAACCTCAATGAAATCTCTAGAATGTCCACCAAGGTCCAAAAGTCTCTTAAATTGAGTTGAGCTTCACCAAAGTACTGAAAAATATCCGTCCCCTAAATATGCCTGATTTCATTCCCTGGGAAATCATGGAGAATATTAAAAACTGCTCGTCTCACAATGTTAAAGAAAGTAAAAAATAAATCCTGACTCCATGTCCCATCTTTCCACCAAGCTTTGTTGGTGTCCAGTTTTKAAGTRATCCTGCCGATCATTGAACMAACGATGAGCAGAAACAAGACGGAGTAACAATGGACAGAAACTACAGTGTCTTTACTTCCTAATAAAATGATGCTGTGTTGTTTCTACAGACTCCGACATCATGACTCCTGTATTTGTGCAGACGGGGAAGGATCTGCTTCTAGACGTCATGGCTCCTGTTTACATAACTGATGGGAGTGAATTAAAATGGAAATATAATCATACAGAAAACATAATTAGATTGTTTTCTGATAACAAAACAATTATACCTGACTCCTATCAGGGAAGGGTCGAGATTGTTCGCCAAAATTACTCTTTGCTCTTGAAGAACGTAAAACAAGCCGACAGTGGACATTACAGGGCAGGTGTTTTCGGGAATAATGACGTATCTGTGGGTAAATACAGCGTCACAGTTCAAGGTAGGTTTCTTCAGATTTCAAATATCGACACAGTAGTCGCCCAACTTCTAAACCCCTTGATGCCCGTGTCCCTGCCCCTCAGATCCAGTGTCTCCGGTTCATGGGAACGTGGACTCTGTGTCCTGGAGCTCCGACTCCTGTAACCTCACAGTGACCTGCAGCACACAGGACTCCCAGCACATCAACAGCACTTTTAGATGTGACGCCAACACCTGCAGCCAGGACGAGGGAGGAGACAGGTCCAAGGTCACGACCTCAGACGCCTCCCTCCGTGTCTACCTGTCCAATGGCTCCTCAGTTATCTGTAACCATAGTAACCAGGTCAGCTCGGCCGAGGACATAATAAAGATTGAGTGCTATTGTTTCTCAGTTCCTGGTAAGTGACCGACAACACAAGCGGCTGATAACTTTGTTTTCTAGACGGTTKTCCTGTTTCTTCCAACTTAAGTTAATTTTGAAATATTGAATCTGTCCCAACATTTGAARACGTTCCCTGAATATTTGACTGCATTGCCTCTAGACACAGACTTTCTGACATCACCTTCAATGGGTTCAAAAAGCTGCTGCTTGGATTCTAACTGGTTCAAGACAACACATGACTCAGATTCTGGCCTTGCTGCATTTGACTGCATTGAATTTAGAGCATGTCAYTTTTTAAATATATTTATTTTTTGTGTTGAAGTGAATAAGTTGAGAAAATAACTGAAGCTTGTTTGCATTTGGCTGTGGGGGGGATGTCTAATCTGTTTTTCTGTGTTTTCATTACAGTCACTAAACCACCAGGACCTGTTGTTACTGCTGACATCATCACTGTTGCTCTCACTGTTGCGGTGGTTGTGGTGATAGTTGCCATAGCAACAGTTGTTCAACATGGAAAAAAAGGAAAACGTACGTCAGAGTAAAAATTAAATTCTTCAAATCCATGTAAATAAGAATTCAGCATTTTCACTGTGTGCTTCACTTTATTCACTTCAAGCTTCAGCTCCTTGTCAACCCTCCATCTACAGCTTGGCAGAGTACGGAAACATGACTCTGCCTGAGAACCAGATCCAGGAGCATCTGGAACAGCTCCGCCCACGTTACAACCGAGAATACATTTCATATCTAATGGTCAAAGACACCTGATGAAGGTTTGACATTGTGGATGAATGTTATGGTAAATATAGTATTTCTCTTACAGATGTGTTCTAATTCTTTCTGGTTCATTTATGTGTTGCAGCTTTTCAATAAGGGAAATGACTGAATACATTTTTTTCCCCCAATTTAAATGATGTTTATAAAGATTTTAACTGTTGATTGAAAAATATTAAAGATTCCACAGAGACTTTACTTTTTTTTTTAACATTTTGGAATCAAACTTTTGTTCCTTTTAGATGAAAATGTGAGAAAGTTTGTAGCAGTTCTTTTAATTGCTCCTTTCAATTAATCTCATTATGACTTGTGTAATTAGATTTTTTATTTTTATACAGAGAGATTTTTATATTATTTGATTGTGCATCGTGTGTTAGTTTGATCAAATTTCACTGTAAAAAAAACAATAAAAACCTAAAATGATTTTTGCTGTGACAGTTTCAATTCACAAAATAAAAAAAAAAAAGGAAAGTGCTGTAGTTTTGATGAGTGTCCAGTATTGGTGCTTGTACGATAAAGTTCTTACTTCATCCAAATATTAGTAATTATACATGTTTTAGTTAAATTAACATCATCATCAGGAAGTTAACAAAACATACACATTGATTTCTTCTTTAAAAATACAAATATGAAGACAAAGAATGTTTAAAAGCCAAAAAATACATTTCAACACATCATCTCCATCCGTCCATATCATATCCCCTGCACTTTTGCATCGGACAGTGGGACACGTCTCCCTTTAACGATCCCACCATGAATCATTTCACAGTGAGAAGTGAACCGGAAGAATCTAATCCTCATTATCTTTCCCAACCGGCAGGACTCGAACCTTCCTCTGCTTCACCGCAGGTAGAAATGGCGGCATGTCTTCCAGCAGAATAGCCAGTGTTTGTGTTTCTCTCGCCAAATGCTTTTCTCATTCTCATCTCAATCAGTCTGCCGTCGTTTCTTACTCACAGATCCTGCTCGAGTGTAGGGAAGTGCTTTTCATAACCCAATTGCCGCCTGCTTGTTTAAGTAGCAGCAGTGATTGAGGCCGGGCGTCTGCTCTGCCAAAGTCTGGACCTGAACCAGAGCTGCTCAGAGACATGCGGGTCATTTTAAAGCCTCATCAGATTCATCTCTGCGTCGTCAAAGTCCCTGTTGAAGACGAGGCTTTAGCAGCATTAACACCGAGGAAGACTAATCTGCCAACAGTTCTTACTGATATACGCCCGGGATTCCCAGACAACGACTCAAATAATCCATCTTCAAACAGATAAAAGATGCAAAATGGATCCTGGTCTGAATACATCTGCATTATAAATTGTTGCTGAATCACTATTGTTATCCACTTAATTTATTCCTGTCAGTAACTGTAGATTTGCTTAATATCTCTGGAGTTTAGTTGCATCTGGCAAACCCTTCCTGCAGCACAGCGGTGCAGACGTTGGCACCGTCGCCTCACAGAGCGAAGAAGGTTCCAGGTTTGGATCCGGCTCGGAGTTTGCATGTTCTCCCCAGGTCGTGTTGACGTTCTCCAGGTCCTCCAGCTTCGTCCTACAAGTCCAAAGACATGCACACCCAATGTCTGCTGGGTTTGCTTTCATTGACACAGTTACAGCTGTAACTTAACCTGCGTCCAGCAAATTAAAAAGAAAAATCAGGTCATTTATCGGCCGGCAGTGTGATTTATGAGGCTTTCTGGATTCACGCAGAAAGGTCAGTGTTAATTGGACTTGTTTAAGGAGCTGAGGCATTTCAAAGTTTGAGTTTGACCTTTATCTATAGCGCCCCAGTGTTGTTTCATCGAAATCAGTCCAGTGACTTCACAGAGCAGCTTCGACTCTTTTACACTCATCTTTAATTTCGGTGGAGGAAAATAAAGATTATTTTTGTGGAGGATTTAGAAGCTGTGTTAGTTTAAAAATGGCTTCATGGTTGTTTATCCACTGGACGCTCCATGACGAGACAATCTCTAATTACATTATGAATGCAGGTGATAGCATAACCAGGTATATAAAAGTTTAATAAGGTCAGTGGAGTGAAATGAAATTGCCTGAGTTTTATCTCATTGCTCTTTGCAGGCACCGCGCAGCTTCTCGCACTCACGTTAATAATTCAGAGCAAGGTGAGAAAGCTGAGGATTTTAGTGCTTAATGAGTAAAAACAGGACGTGACACAGCGTGACTGCAGAGATAGAATCACATCAGGTCTGGACGACCAACAAAATCATCCCAGCCACTGTCATGGTACAATATTTAATTTATTTTTCTAAATGATTCAACTCATTTAACTTATTTTTCCAATTTTATAAAGATTCCTCCTTTCAATTTATTTGATCTCATTAAATATCTTTACCTGTTTGTTCTTTTTTCTCTCTTTTTTATTTTACTTTGTTCGAACTGTGCTTTCTGATTTTAAATATATCTCTTTTAATTTTTTTTTTTTCTCATAGTCACGTTTGATCTGTTACGTGAATGAACGGATGATAAATAATTTGTTCACATGTCACAGTTTGCCCTCGTTCTATTGATTCTTTTGTTCAATTGAGGATTTTAAACTTTCACTGCTGAATTTTGTCATCAGACTTGATTTGAACTGTTTTTCCCTCAATGTTAAAAATCTAATTTCTGAGTTTCTCACTTTCTGTTTTAAGGGGAAACCTCATGAATATTTTGCTATTGAGTTGAAATTTAAAAGTTCAAGATACAAGAAATAAAAGAGATTGATTGTTGATGTGAAATATGATGACAGTAAAATATTCTGGCACCAAAAACCCACGTGAGTCAAACTCTTAATTATCTCAGAGAAGGATGTTATGTTTTCATCTGTGTTTAAGAAAGATTACATGAAAACTACTTGAGAACTTATCACAGAACCTGGTGGAAAGATCCGATATGAAGAACCCATTCAATTCTGGTGTGGATCCGGTTTAATTGCTTGATTTAACATTGGGTCACAGGATGTTTTTCCACTTTTCTGTGACTTCTCAGAGAATAATTGATTAAATATAATTAAAAACACACACTCAGGGGCTTGATATCTGTGTGAAACTTGGTGCAGCTTGATAGAACGTAAGGAACCGTTGGGCCTCGGCGGAGGTTTGCTCTCTAGTTTGTAATCTGGTCATATCCACAGCGTCTGTCTCCTTTTGTCCGTCCCTGACCCAACAGGCCACATCAGTGCAGTTACACCAAGGACATCCATTATGAGTCACATTATCCTCTGCTTCTGTAATAGATAATTGCCATCGCCCTAATTTACTCCCACTCATCGCTCAATACTGCCCCCCCCCACCACCACCACCACCACAAGATGGCGGCAGCGTCGAGCAGGACGGAGATAACAAAACCCCACAAGCAGCCTGACAACTTCTCTGCCTCGCCAGCCGGTGACATCATCTGCGGAGGGACAGAGGGTGTGCGAAGGACAAATGTCTTGAAATGGATTACATCATTCTCCACTAATATGATAATATATCTGGGCCGATGAGTGCGGTGCCGAGCACGAGAGAGGGGCCGTAATCCATGTGACGGCCACTTCAGATGGGAAAGAGGGGGATAAGATGGAAGTGGTGGTGGGGGGGGGGGGGTTCCACTGGAGCACTGAAGGTTATTCCAGACATTATTCCTCCATGAGAGCAGCAGGAGACGATAATCACTGTGAAGACGATTGGCTCCAACACTCTCTGTCTTCTGTCCTTGTCTTTCTTCATTTCTGTTTTTCATCCTCTGCCATTGGTGGTAATTCTTTCTTTCTTTTTTAAAAAATGTTCTGTACCCTCCATCCCTTCCTCCCGGCCATTCAGGAGAGGAGGACCGAGGAGGGAAATGAGACAAAGAAGTGGAGAGACAAAGCAGAAGGGGAGAGACGGATTGAGAAGTATTCAAGGAAAGAAAGAGAGATAAATGAAAAGAGAGAGGGGCAAGAAGGTTGGAGAGGTGCGAGCATCATGGAGAAGAGGAGAGAAGGAGGAAGAGGGGAAATTAAAGAGATGAGGAGAGTTGAAGAGCTGCTGCATTTAACTGGAAGAAGGACGGATGAGAAAAGAGAGGTGGGAAAGAAGCGACAGGAGGAGAGATGTGGTAGTAGGAGAGATGACAGGAGGGGAAGGAGAGAAAGGAGATGAAAAAAGAGGAGCAGAGGAGAGAAGGCAGGCAAGGGAGGAAGATATAAGAGGAGAAATGAGAAGAGATAAGGGGAATGAAATAAGAAAAGAGAAATGGGGAGAGGACAAGACTATAACTTACTTTAATCTTTATGACGTGAAGAGGACGTTAAAGGAGGAGTAAGGAGGGAGAAGAAGGAGAGGTGGAGTGAAATGAGGAGAAAAGGTGAAGGAGAGACGGAGAGAAGAGGAGGGAAGAGAGGAGGCAAAAGAGGAGAACAAGTGAGAAGTAGAAGAGGAGAAGGGATGAGAGAGAGAAAGGGGGAGATCAGAGAGGTAAAGTGAAAGAAAGAGAAGAGGAAAGAGATGAGGAGAAGGACAAAGAGATGTAAAAGAAGATGAATCAAAATAAGAGGGCAAAATAGAGAGATGGGGTGAGGCAAAAACTGAAAACACAGAGGGGGGAGTGGGAGAAAGTGACAGTAAGAGTTAAGAGACGTGAGAGGAAAAGAAGGAGGAGAGGAGGAAATCGTTGAGATGTAATAACGAATGAAAAGGATGACGGAGGGAAGTGCGTGACAGAGGAGAAGACGTCAGAGAGATGTGAGGGGGACTGATGAAAGGTTTGGAGGAAAGAGCAAAAAGGGAGAGAAGACGAGCGGAGAACCAAGAACAAGGGAAAGAATAGATGAAAAGAGAGAAGATGATGTACAAGGAGAGGGTTGTCGAGAGACAGACCGAGTGAGAGAGAGGAGGTGAAATAATGAATGAGAGGAACGGGGGAAAGGCCTTAAACAAGAGAAAGATGACGGGAGGATGAAGTGAGAGAGAAAACAACGACTGATTGGGAGGAAAGAAGAGACTGCAGAGAAAAGGAAGGATGAGATGATGGAAGGACATGGTGGAAGATGAGGGTAAAAAGGAAGGAGAAGTGAGAGAAAAGGTAGGGAGAAGGAAGATAAAGACAGAGGGGGAGGAACAAGGAGTTCAATAGATGAAAGGATGGAAAAAGATGGAGAGAAGGTGGACAAGGAGAAAAGAGGAGAGGACAGGAAAACATGAGAGGGAGGAGAATGATTTAGAGAGAAATTCAAAAAGATGGGAAGGAAAAGAAGAGAGAGGAGATGGGATGAGGTGAGAGACAATGAAATAAGAGAAGAGAAGATGAGATGAGAGAAGAGAAGATGGGATGAGTGAAGAGAAGATGAGATGAGAGAAGATGAGATGAGATGAGAGAAGATGAGAAGAAAAAATGAGAGAAGAAAAGATGAGACAAGATGAGATGAGAGAAGTTGAAATGAGAGAAGAGAAGATGATATGAGATGAGAGAAGATGAGTGAAGAGAAGATGAGATGAGAGAAGAGAAGATGATATGAGATGAGAGAAGATGAGATGAGTGAAGATGAGATGAGTGAAGAGAAGATGAGATGAGAGACGATGAGATGAGTGAAGAGAAGATGAGAGAAGATGAGATGAGAGAAGAGAAGATGAGAGAAGATGAGAGAAGATGAGATGAGAGAAGAGAAGATGAGAGAAGATGAGAGAAGATGAGATGAGAGAAGAGAAGATGAGAAAAGAGAAGATGAGATGAGAGAAGATG